GCGTTGGGTTTCTTGGAACCCATGCCTGGGTTCATTCGAAGAACCCAGTAAATGGGTTCGAACGAACCCAGGCTCAAGGAACCCAGCTGGGTTCGCCTGGGTTCGTCGAACCTAGTGCTGGGTTCGTTGAACCCAGGCAATCTGCGTTCGGTCGACCTAGGTTTGGCCGACCTGGGTTCGTCGAACCCAGCCCTGGGTTCGAAAGAATCTAGGACGCCGCTTGGGTTCGAACGAACCCAGGAGGACGAACCCAGGCGTCCTCCTGAGTTTGTTCGAACCCAGAAAGACGCCTGGCTTCCTGGGTTCGAACGAACCCGAGAGCAAAATGTAAATAAAAAGAGAAAATTTTTTTTTTCTGTGGATCTTGTTGTTTCATGATGATGGAGGAATTGATTGATGAAGAAGGCTAGGTAAGAAGAGGAACTGAGAACTGGGAATGGGGAAGAAAGGGGGAGAAGAGTTCAAGCTTTGCAGGAGGTGGGGCCCACTCTTTTTTTTTTTGTTTTTGGATCCGAATCATACTGCCATGTCATTTTTTTTTACAGGTGTGCATACGAGGTGTCATTCTATTTTGACACATCATCATGCTTCAGTTAATTAACAGGACGCGTCATTGGATTTTTAACGGAGGGACTAAATTGGGGTAAAAATGGTAAATAGTAGGGACCAAGTCAGGGATTTTTTGAGTTGAGGGACTAAGTCGGGGGTCCGTACAATAGTTGAGGGACTAAAAAAGAGATTTAACCTTTTTTTTTACGAGGGTAATGGTTAGGTAGTTAGTAGAGCTAGTTGTTAGCAACTGGGATTTCCCAGAATGGTGAACATTCCACCCCTTCAGATGAGGCGTGAAGTTCACGGCGATGACAGAGCTCGAAACCCTGACCTCCACCTCACTCAAGCCTTAAGGTTTGGGGCCAACCATTGGGCCTCAGGCCGGTTGGCCATCATAACCTATTTTGAAATCTTAGTTTAGTCATATTATGTGTTAAAGCAATGTATATGATAAGCGTCCGTTAGATTTGCTAATAAGAAAGTTTTATTTTGTAAGCTAAA